ATGTGTGTCCTCAATGTGTGTCCTCAATGTGTGTCCTCAAGTGTGTCCTCAAGTGTGTCCTCAATGTGTATCCTCAATGTGTGTCCTCTCTATGTGCCGCTTCAGTAGATCAGTAAACAGGAGGACGACATTAGAGCAATACTTTTAATGTTGTCATTTATCAAATCAATAATTTTGTGACATTTAATTACATTTTACACTGCATAATTACTGTTCCTTATGTTCTTTGGAATATTTAAAGCTATCACTGGATTCTAAAAGTCGTTTTCCTATTTCAGAGTTTTCTGGTTATCAATGCATTTTCTGGTTATCAATATATTTTCTTGTTATCAATGATTTTCTGGTTATCAATATATTTTCTGGTTATCAATGTATTTTCTGGTTATCAATGTATTTTCTGGTTATCAATGTATTTTCTTGTTATCAATGTATTTTCTGGTTATCAATGTATTTTCCGGTTATCAATGTATTTCCTTGTTATCAATGTATTTTCTGGAAAAATCTATTCCCTTTTCCAAAATCAAGGAATTTTTAATAAGACATTTTTTCAGTGAATTTGGAAAAATTAATTATTTTATGGAAAAATGATATAATATTTAAGTAAAAAGTATTTAAAAAGAGGGTTGGGGGACTTTGTTTTCTATTCCCTGTGTTGCAAACTTTTAAAACCTTTGATATTTCAATCTTTGACTATTTGATGCAGCATCAGAATTGCTAGTTTGAAAAGCCTAAGGTTTTCAACATCAGGTTGAATGGATATCAGGATTAGACAATTTGAATGTGAGGCTAGTAAAGAAGAGTAACTACTTTTAAGCTTTTTAACCTTTTCCATAATCTTTTCTGATATTAAATAAAAATTTACAAAAATCTAAATTTAAAACACAAAAACTTTTTCAATTAAAGTAAATAAACGTTATTATTTGAATAATTGTTCAGAATGAAAAGCGACTGCGTCTACCTCCCTGGCTAAAAACTGAAATACCGATGGGGAAAAACTTCTCAAAACTTAAGAAGGACTTGCGAGGACTTAAACTTGCGACAGTCTGTGAAGAAGCAAGGTACTCTTTTACTTAAAGGTACTGTAAACATTATTTCAAGTGACCCCCTATTTGTAGAGTGGCATGTCTGATTCACGTTGGTACCCTTTAAACCTTGAAGTGATATATCAAAATTGACCATTTTCAATTGTGGTTTCTATTGAAAAGTATCTTGCTGATTTATGTTGCAAAGACAATGCAGAAAATTGTGAGAATTTTAAACTTTTCTAGAATTTTGGAGGAGTAAAGGATGGGACTGCAAATGCTATTATCAATCTGTTTCCAGGTGTCCTAATATTGGTGAATGCTGGGGAGTAGAGGAGGGGAAGGCAACTGCTATTATCAAATCTGTTTCTAGGTGTCCTAATATCGGTGAATGCTGGGGAGTAGAGGAGGGGAAGGCAACTGCTATTATATAATCTGTTTCCAGGTGTCCTTATATCGGAAGGCAACTGCTATTATATAATCTGTTTCCAGGTGTCCTTATATCGGTGCATGCTGGGGAGGAGAGGAGGGGAAGGCAACTGCTATTATAAAATCTGTTTCCAGGTGTCCTAATATCGGTGAATGCTGGGGAGGAGAGGAGGGGACGGCAACTGCTACCATTATGCTGATGGGTGACACTTGTACTAGAGGATGCAGGTTCTGCTCTGTTAAGGTATATGGTTTCATTTGCAACATTTGTCATAATTTGCAATCATTAACATTTGTGATAATTACATTTGCCATAATTGCACTTGCCATGATTGCAATTACCATAATTACACTTGCCACAATTACTTTTTTTGTAATTAATTCTATGATTACACTTGCCATAATTAAATTTTCCGTAATTAATCTTACCATCATTACATTTGTCTCAATTACAGTGGCTACAATTACACTTGCCCTATCTAACCTAATTGCTATAGTTACCATTTACCATAATAACATAACTGAACTCCTTATAGACCAGATTTTAAAAAAAGTTTTGGCCTCCACGTATTCTTCTAGACTGCTAGAGCCCCACCTCCCCTGGACCCCGCTGAGCCGGTGAACACAGCTAACGCAGTGGTGGAGTGGGGACTAGACTATGTTGTTTTAACATCTGTAGATAGGTAACCAGTAGTGCAGTTGATCCAAAATTATGTTCATCTGGACTAATATAATATTTTGAGGAAAGATTTAAAAACTTTTAAAAAAGGCCATTTTTATATTATTCTTACTATATTCTTAGACTTCTCAAGAATTTGTGAATTTATCTTCGTCTAAAATAATTCTTAAAATAACAAAATGGCTGATCTTAGAGATGATTTACCGGACGCGGGCTCTGCGCACATTAGCGCCACAATCCAGGAACTTAAGCGGGCAAAACCGGAACTATTGGTGGAGTGCCTATCACCAGACTTTGCGGGGGATACAGCCTGTGTTGAAACGGTAAACATTTATGTAAAAAAATAATCAAAAATTTAAAACGAAAAAGATTTTTGCTAATGTTTTCTTGATGTGAAGATGAAAGTTAAGAGCTTATAAGTTATAAGATGTTTTGTCCTGAATGTGTGTCCTCAATGTGTATCCTCAATGTGTGTCCTCTCTATGTGCCGCTTCAGTAGATCAGTAAACAGGAGGACGACATTAGAGCAATACTTTTAATGTTGTCATTTATCAAATCAATAATTTTGTGACATTTAATTACATTTTACACTGCATAATTACTGTTCCTTATGTTCTTTGGAATATTTAAAGCTATCACTGGATTCTAAAAGTCGTTTTCCTATTTCAGAGTTTTCTGGTTATCAATGCATTTTCTGGTTATCAATATATTTTCTTGTTATCAATGTATTTTCTGGTTAAATTTTTGGTAGTCAAGAAAAGAGGGGGGGAATTGGATATCAAAAGGCAACCTTTTTCATTCTTTTTGATAATTCATTATTTTCAGGGGAAATAAAAGATTATCAAAGGGGGAGGTGAAAGAAAAATGATTTTTCCAGAAACAGGATATATTTTTAATAAATGAATTCTGAAATCAAATCTTGTTCAAAATTGACGGAAGGGCAAGGGGGGAGAGGTCAGAAATGAGTTATTATGATTAAAAAGGCGGAGATACGGACATTTTCTTTTGTTTTTATGATTTTTACGCATGAAAGATTAGTATGTTAATCATCTTCTCTAAAAACATGTTTTGAATCAACAATCAACATGTCAATGGATTCGACTGGCTACATTTTTTTCTATCAATTCTTGAATTGATTGAGAGGATAATTCACAAACGATGATTATGTAAACAAGATAAAGCCACCTGGTGCGCTTTCATCCAGGGTTCAATAACAGAACAGCGGTTTTCAAACAGAGGACCCCAGGCGTGGTTGTACAATGTTCACGTATCGCAAGTGGAAGTACTGATGGGTGAGATTTTCTAGGGGACCAGAATATCCACAGAAGTTTCGTTTAATAATAATAAAAACAATGCATCTGGGTGGGAGGAGGGTACCCCTGCTCTTGAGGCCGCTAATATTGATCAGAAAATTAGAGTTTGAGGCAACCAATCAATTCCTTAAGAAATACACCTTCAAAACTTTACTGTTAATTTATTTTCATAGGAAATAGACCCAAGCCTGGTCACGAAGACTTCTATAATGCTGGGTCTTGGAGAAACAGATGAGGAGATTTTACAGTGAGTTTTATTTTTAAATAAATAAAGGTAAAATCTTAGGAACTGTCACCTGGACCACGGCCCGCTAATATGTATGCTTCTATCTACTGATCTATACTATTCTGGGCTAGTGTAAATGTAACTTTGTCGGTGGGCTACGCAGCTGTTATATCTCAGTGGACCCTAGATACAGAGCGTCCCGTATCATATTAGATTATCTCCAATCCTGAACGCCAAAATACGCACATAATACTCAAATAATTTAACATTTTCTGCAAAAAAAAAAATTCTATTAGCCTTATTAAATTTTTCAAAATGATTCATTCTTCTTAAATTTTCTGATTTGTCCCTCAAATTGTAATTTAGGCCCATTGATGCGGTCTAATTTGATGTGAGACACCCTGTATTTTTAGGAAATTGTAAAACCTCGGCAATCGGCATATAGCAAATTTTAGGTTTTACTATAACAAATTTTTATTCTGACTATTGTTCATTCTATAAAAATAATCTGTACTTTTAAAAAAGTTTGAAGTGAAGTTCAGGGGCCAAATTAGAGAAGAACTTTGGTAGATAGTGGGCCCTGGAATAAGCATAAATGAGATACTGTAGCTAAAATCTTGTGATCATAGCATTTTCTTCAAAGAGTTGGTAGCATCAAAGGCGCCTTGTTTTCAGAATTCCAAAATGTGGTCTGCCGAGTTTGTACCTTAAGAATTGACCAAGATATTGAGAAATTTGTTTAAAATTCAAAATATTAAATATCAGCAACAATTTTTCTAATACAAAGAAGGAGGCTAAATCTTATCAAGTTTTAAAGACTTACAATGTTTTTCTATACTCCTTTCACATCTATTAACTTTACGAAAACCAAAGACAAATTTTAAGTTCCAGGGTCCAATGTCTAACGTACTGCATAACACCCCAGCGAAAAAATTACATCANTCTATCTATCTATCTATCTATCTATCTATCTATCTATCCTTCTTCATATATACAAATATTTCTTGTTTTTAGTTCAAAATTAGAGTTACAAGGGGAGAGGGCTAATTGGACATTTGGGATAAATGCACTTGGGAAATTGGGAAGTTACAAAGTGCGGCCTTCAATCTTACCATCTTACCGCCCATTTTCTTAAAGTAGGTCACAATCTTACCGCCCATTTTCTTAAAGTGGATCACCATCTTACCCCCTATTTTCTTAAAGTGGGTCGAAGCATGTTGTCGAGGTTGAGACTTCAATTCCTACAATGATGGTCTAGAAACTCTGCAAATATCTCAAGATTGAATTCGGACTTGAACACTGTCTTGTCAAGGGTTTGCTATAGCACGGAACTAACATTAATATAATGATGTATAATTGTGTTTACAGTTTTATCCTTTCCTAGAATTTGCTGGATATGGACAGGGTTCTGTTTTATTAATAATTTATAAATTAAAATGAAAATGGTTTTTATTCTAATATTTGTGGACTCTGCAGGACAATATATGCAGCCAACAAAACGTCACCTCAAGGTCATTAAATAATTAATAAGGGTGGGGGGCATTAAACGTATTACTCTCGGGAAAATTTAAACAGTGGTTAAACATAACTTAGAATTGTTGTAGGAGGCTGAATTTTTGCATGCAAACTCAGAATTATGTATATTACATGCATTTTTTGGTTTTGAAGGAATCTGAGCAAAAGTGCGCGCGCGCGCGCGCTTTTTGTGAAAANTTCCTTTACAGTCCCTTTAAGCATGGGAGTTAAAATTTAGAGCAAAAAGGTAAAAGAATATTCATGCGTAGTTTCAATTGAACCTCAATGGTTATATTAACAATGGTACCCTTTAAGCACTAAAATGGTGTTCAATATTTCTTAAATATAAAACTGATTGCAAAAAAATGTTAAAAATTACAAACATGTTTGTAGATGATAAGTCATTTATCGGACACAAACTACTCTTTGTAAATGATGGGTCACTTGAAATTGCGCCAACCATACAATTTTTGGACGGCCAGGGAGGGATGGAATTATCAGTACGTTATTTTTGAGGTGGTGGCGGGGAAAATTCCTTCAGTTATGAATTTTTATTATGTAAAAAATTTGAAAAATGTATTAATTATTTGAATATTATATCACAGACTTATTCAGATAGAAAACTATTATATTAAGAAATATATTTTTTTTGTATTGATTATGTTACAATAATTTAATAAACGTGAATAAATTTGAATTTATCGTCTAAATTTCAGATTAATATGTTTGGTTAAAAATATTAAATGGCGCTCACGGAAGAACAACGACGAAGGTAAAAACTTTTTTTTTTCAAAAATAATAAATTATGAATTTGGCATTTCTATGGGGACCAAATTGAAAAGATGCAATGGCTAAGAAAAGTAAATCTGTGTCTCCATATCCCGTATTTGATATCAGATTTCTCCTAATAGTTGGAGAGATTTGAGGGAAATTTTCCTTTCTGAATATTATTGAAATAAGGAGGAGGCATATACCTCCCAAAATATGGTTACATCATCATCAATCATCATCATCATCATCAATATGATTATAATAATAACTAAACAATCATTACTCCGTAGAAATCAAGACCAAATAGTTCAGTCATACTTAGTTCAACTTCATTCTGCTAATTATTAAACACGACCTCTTCTCAACCCATTTTTAGAGTTTCTAGCTTAATTTGGGAAAATACATTTTTTGAGATAACATTTTTTCCTTATGATGTCCAATCTTCAAAAATTATGTTTAAAATAAATCCTTGATCTATCCAGGTTCAGGAATATGTTACACCTGCTAAGTTCCAACACTGGGAGAATATTGGAAACCAACTTGGATTCTTATATACAGCTAGTGGACCTTTAGTTAGGTAGGCAAAAACTTATTCCCCTATCCTCCCCCTTCCTTCAACTTTTCCCCCTCCTTCCTACAACTTTTCCCCCTCCTTCCTTCAACTTTTCCCCCTCTTTCCTTCAACTTTCCCCCTTCNTCCCATAACTTTCTCCCTTCAAATTTTCCTCCTCCTCCCTCAACTTTTCCCCCTCCTCCTTTCAACTTTTCCCCCTCTTCCCTTCAACTTTTCCCCCTCCTTAAAGAAATAGCAGACGTAGATTTTAGTGACCTTCAAGAGCGGTTTGTCTGATTCCAAGTAGTACCAGCCTTTAAACCTCTATCTGAGTAACAATGAGGAAGAAATCCTCATTTTTTTATCTTAAAGGGACCGTTTACTTATTTGGGTAATTTGAGGGTAAACTAAATAGCCTATTAGCTTTTCATTGGTAGTAGTCTTACTTTTTTAGCCGGAAAAAAGGCCAATTTCTCGTTCAGAATTCCAGCGCAAAAGTACGGTACCTTTTCAACTACCCAAATAAGTGAATGGTCCCTTTAATTAGTGTTAAACGTTCACAGTTTTCATTCCTTCTCTATTAATTTATTGGTAAACAAATAAGTTTATCTCATTCATCCTTGGCCAGACTGAGGATTTAAGGATACAATCGTGAGCCCGACACTTTATTTGAGAGTCACATAAACTTACATTTACAGCTTAAATATTTGGTCCAATTATTTTACATTTTGATAATTCGAATAGAAACTATATATTAGAATATTGTTTGTATTTCAGGAGCTCATATAAAGCCGGGGAGTTCTTCATCAAGAATATTGTCAACCGGAGGAAAACTGGAAGTTAAAGAAAATCCGCAAATTCAGATATTTTGGCGGGAAATGTTTTCCGTGTAGGAAAATTGAATAACAGTTATGAACATTTATGAGTTAAAGATCTAAAATATTCATCCTTTTTCCTCAGCCCCCCATAACAAATTTTAAGGGAATGTTAAAGTAAAATGAAAGGCTGAAACCTAAGCATTTTAGGAGTTGATCGAGACCAGTTCTATCTTATGTTCCTGTCTCGAGAAATTGATATAAAATTGTGTCAAATTTATACGAAATATATAAAATTTATAAAAATCGTAGTATACTGCACTGCCAATTGATGAGAGTTTTGTCACCTGATACGGACGTATAAATAATATTATAAATTGTATCTATCAAAAATGAAAAATTATTAAATTAAAATAATAATAGAAGCAAAGTTTCTCAGGCTCTTCTGGGATATCGTCGTTTTCAGATTGGTTGCGTATTTGCTGTATATGATCTGTTAAAACCTATGATTTTTACAAAAAAATTTATATATTAAAATTTTCGTATTTTGACACAGTTTTATATCAATTTTTTGAGACAGGAACATCAGATAGAACTCAATCAATCAATTCCTTAAGTGCTTAGGTTTCAGCCTATACCCCCTTTCATTTTTCCTTTACAGTCCCTTTAAGCATGGGAGTTAAAATTTAGAGCAAAAAGGTAAAAGAATATTCATGCGTAGTTTCAATTGAACCTCAATGGTTATATTAACAATGGTACCCTTTAAGCACTAAAATGGTGTTCAATATTTCTTAAATATAAAACTGATTGCAAAAAAATGTTAAAAATTACAAACATGTTTGTAGATGATAAGTCATTTATCGGACACAAACTACTCTTTGTAAATGATGGGTCACTTGAAATTGCGCCAACCATACAATTTTTGGACGGCCAGGGAGGGATGGAATTATCAGTACGTTATTTTTGAGGTGGTGGCGGGGAAAATTCCTTCAGTTTTGAATTTTTATTATGTAAAAAATTTGAAAAATGTATTAATTATTTGAATATTATATCACAGACTTATTCAGATAGAAAACTATTATATTAAGAAATATATTTTTTTTGTATTGATTATGTTACAATAATTTAATAAACGTGAATAAATTTGAATTTATCGTCTAAATTTCAGATTAATATGTTTGGTTAAAAATATTAAATGGCGCTCACGGAAGAACAACGACGAAGGTAAAAACTTTTTTTTTTCAAAAATAATAAATTATGAATTTGGCATTTCTATGGGGACCAAATTGAAAAGATGCAATGGCTAAGAAAAGTAAATCTGTGTCTCCATATCCCGTATTTGATATCAGATTTCTCCTAATAGTTGGAGAGATTTGAGGGAAATTTTCCTTTCTGAATATTATTGAAATAAGGAGGAGGCATATACCTCCCAAAATATGGTTAAGGGGGTGGGTGGGATATAAACCTCCCTGAATATTGTTAAGGGGGTGGGGAGGGTATAAACCTCCCTGAATTATGTTAATGGGGTGGGGTGGATATAAACCTCCCTGAATATTGTTTAATTTAGGATTGAAGAGAAGAGAGGTGAAGCCCTTGCTAAGCGAAAGAATAAAATACCACAGACAAGGTTTGTACAATAAATATACCTCTCACAAATTTAACTTCCTCTTCCTTTCAAACATTACCCTTTAAATGGACTGTAAGTTTAATTTCAAGTGACCCTCCATGCAAAGATGGCAATGCCCGATTTCCGATGGAAAAGTCTTTATATCTGCAAGTTTTTCCATTATTTCTCATAAGCAATAAGTGCGCAAGACACTTTCGCAGAGAAACCGCAAATAAAAATAAACAGTTTAAAGAAATAAAAACATTGATATCTAATTTACACTTTATCAGACACCGCTTTCAAGGGTACCGTTGTAAATCAGGCATTGCCATCTTTTTATGTAGGGTCACTTGAAATTACGCGTACTGTCTCTTTAATGCTTTTTTTCCTTCTTGAAAGATTAAAGATTTTATAATAATTTATTTAAATTTATTTGATTTGAATTCATTTTTTTTTAAAAGTTCTGGCGGAGTTATTCAAGCAGGGGGAAGCGGAGCCGGGGTTTCTGGCGGAGGTAGTGGCAGGGGAGTTTTTGTTGGTGGCGGCGGAGTTAGTGGCAGTGGCGGTGGAGTTAGTGGCAGTGGCGGCGGAGGGCTGACGGATGAACAAAAAAGAATTGTTGAACAAAACAGACAAGCTGCTCTTCACAGGTTGAAAATAAAATAGAAAATTCTAAAAATTCTTTAAAATATATTTTTCTAAACTTATTGATTTCTAATGTTGCAGGAAGAATGCTGTTCATCCCTCGTCTGCAACCACAGGTCAATTAAATTCAAATGATTCTCTATTCTCTATTCACAACTGTTAACTGAAAGCCTCTATCTTTGCTTTTATTGCTAAAAGAGGTTAATTTTGACAATTTTTATCCATTGGTTTCTCTGGCATAAATCCGCAAGTCCATTTATAAAGAAACCAAAAATTTAACTTGTATATTTTCAAAGAGAAAAACATAAATATCGTGTTAATTCTTAGTCAAACAAAGCTTTAAATGGCAACATTGTGAATCAGAAGTCACTTGAAATTACGCGTATTGTCCCTTTTAAACTATTTTTCAAGATTTAAAAAAATTAAGTTTACAAAAATTAAAGAAAAAATTATAAAATTTATTTTTAGTTCCTAGTCTCACGGCTGAGTCCTTCTATAACAAGTCTAAACCATCTGTAAAAACAATAGGAAATTCAATATAATTATTTTCAGTTTTTTATTCTAGAAATTCAATTAAAGGGACCAGAAGCGTGTTTTCGCTTGCGCATTTCTTCTGCAGGAAACTAATTATGAATTTAACACTTATAAATCTAAAATAACTACAAAATCTTCAACATTATTGATCAGATTGCCATCTTTGCATGGAGGTTCACTTGAAATTGCGCCAACAGTCTCTTTAATAATAATTTTTACAGCCATAAACTTTTCACTATTTACACATTATATTTTATTTTACTTTATTTTAATAATTTACTCCTAAAGCTTTACAATCCAGCTATTAAATTAGGTATATTATCAACCCAATTTTAACATCGTTGGCTTCAGTATTTTTGGTGATGAAATAATTATATCATTCCAGAATTTGTTATCACTTGATTTGAAGAGGTACCAATGTGAAATAATTAGTCAATATCAACATACAGAGAGGGGGGGGGGGTTAAGCAGGCTGAGCCCCCTGGAAAATATAAATGTATTATTTTGAATTGTATCAGGGCCCAACAATTTAGGAACCCCCTTCAAACCTCCCCGCCCTCATCCTTCAACCACTCAGAGCAGTTTCAGCAATAGCAATCTTTTCAGCAAGAGTGATACTAATCCTTTTGGCAAAAGCAATACTAATCCATACAGGAAGAGCGCTACTAATCCATTCAGCAAGGGCAATACTAATTCTGATTCTCGGAGCAGCTTAAGCAGTTTAATAAATAAACAGAGCAGCCTGGTTCTAAACGGGTCTGCTGTAACATCGGGAGCTATCAATTCAGGGCTGGCGGCCGTTAAACATGGTGGGAAATGCATAAAGGCAAACTGTACACTAGTGGAGAGAAATCGGTTTCAGGTTGTTACCACGTATCATGAGACCTTGATTAAAGTATTTAAAACAATGAAGACTGGTGTATACAATGCGAAAACTAGGATTTGGAGCTTTAGTCTGGAGGAACATGATAAACTTGTACGAGAAGCCGGGGTACTAAAGGGTGAGGTTGAATTAATCCCTCTTCCTCGCTGGATTTTAGATACTTTCAGGAAACCCCTGAGCTATGATGTTGAGAGCATAGATCTAAGCAAAATAGAACCAAAGATACTGGAGAGCTTAATGCCATTCCAACTTCAAGGAATTCAGTTTGGTATCAGTAGAGCGGGCAGAGTTCTCATTGCTGATGATATGGGTCTAGGGAAAACTATTCAGGCTCTAGGTCTAGCAAGCTATTATAGGGATGCCTGGCCCTTCCTTGTAGTAGCCCCCTCTTCTATGCGATATGCATGGGAGAGTGCAATTTTAAGATGGTTTCCCTCTCTTTCTGCAGATGATATTTCCACAATAACAACAGGAAAAGATTATATTGGTTCTAGTTCCTGTATAATTATCAGCTATGATCTACTGGGGAAGAAAGCCAATGAACTAGCCAAAAAAAGTTTCAATCTTGTGATTATGGACGAAAGTCATTCAATTAAAAATGATAAATCAGCCAGAACAAAGGCAGCAGAACCGTTGATGCGCGAATGTCGCTACCTCATTCTGCTAAGTGGAACTCCGGCATTAAGTCGTCCTGTTGAACTGTACTCTCAGATATCAGCTCTCAACCCTAAACTCTTCAAACATCAGAGGGACTTCGGATTCAGATACTGTGATGGACAGCTGAAGAAACTTGGATTACGAGAAGTTTATGACTTCAGTGGATCTTCAAACATGACGGAACTCTCACTGCTTTTATTGGAGAAATGTATGATTCGAAGGCTGAAATCTGATGTACTCCAGCAGCTGCCAGCTAAGCAACGATGTATGGTTGTATTGGATCCAGGTAGTGTTGATAGCTCCAGCAGTATGATGAGAGACAAGGAGAATGCTGCGCGTAAATCTGGTGTTCATGGACTGGAAAAGCGTGGTCTTCTCTTAGAATGGTACAGTGCCACAGCTCAGGCAAAGCTGAAGGCAGTTCAGGAGTATGTAAAGGATTTGCTGAATTCAGACAAAAAATTTCTATTGTTCTGTCACCATCAGGTGATGATGGTAGGATTAGCAGAGGTTCTTAATACAGCAGGAACAGGGTTCATTCAAATTGATGGGTCAACTCCAAGCGAACTTAGAAGAACTTATGTAGACAAGTTCCAGACCTCTCCCAGCTGCCAGGTGGCGCTGCTGAGCATTACCGCGGCAAATTCTGGTATTACTCTTACCTCTGCGCACCTAGTCGTCTTTGCTGAGATTTACTGGAACCCGGGAATTCTTACACAGGCTGAAGATAGGGCACATCGGATTGGGCAGACTGACAGTGTTTCAATACAATATCTGGTGGCTAAAGGAACTGCAGATGATGAGTTGTGGCCAATGATCCAGAAGAAACTAGATGTTCTAAACAAGGCTGGACTTACTAAGGACAATTTCCAGGATTCTGAGTCGACTGTTGTACTGAGTAAAGGCCAGAAGACTATAGAAGATTTTTTTGCATTGAACGAGGAATTTCCAATTGCTGAGTTTGATGAATCTATGATTAACGAAACACCTCTGCCTGCTATAGAGACTCTTAGAGATCCTAATGATGGTACTACTGCTAATATTGTCCCTCAATATGTTTCTGATGTTGCTACTGCTAATATTGATCTTCCAGATGCTCCTGATGTTGCTACTGCTAATATTGAACTTGATGAAGATCTATTTGATGATGAGTGGGAGGAAGATCTTCAAGAATTAGAGTCTCCCGCCAAAAAAACTAAAGTATTCTAATTCTGAATTTTTGGGAAGAAATATCAAACTTATGAATCTCACTTTCCATTTTTCCTTCCTTTTCCCATCTGCTTTAATCTTTTCCGTTTCCTAGAGTTTTAGAGATTTTATTTTTCAGTATCTGTTTTTGTGATACATCTAGAACTGCCCATGATTGATATAGTTTATATATAATTTGATATATATGGCGGCCAATTTTTTGGTGTGTTATTGAATATTTGTGATAATTAAATAATTTATCATTTTATAAAATTTGGAATTATATTGTGGGCTAGAAATTGTAAGTGTGATAAATCCGACCCTTCTCTAACATTTAACTGATCTGAATCTTGCCAAAGAGAAATTAAAAATGTATGGTTCATATCTGTGATTAAAAAATCTATTTTTCAGATAGAACATGCGTACATGCGTTCAGAAAATGCGGAAGTGTGTACAGAACATGCATTTACGCAGATACACATCACGGGTATGAAATTGATATTAAATAAAAATGTTATTTTTTTTATCAATTTGGATTAAAATTTGAATTGACTTATTTGATTCCCCCATAATTAGACGCACATATATATATCCATTATATTAGATTAGGAAAAGATTACAGTTGTGATTCTGTCTTGCAACTATTTAAATGAAGGTTGACTTGAAATTATGTTGATAGTCCCTTTAAATATATTTGTTACTAGGTGACGGAAGAGTTTATTAAGCAGAATCTAACTATTTCTACAGATCATTTAACTCCGGAGATTAAGGTTGGAATTTTTATTAAAGGGAGTGTTCGCAAAAAAGGCTAACCCAGAGGTGTATATTTTTATGAATTACTCCCCCCCCTTCCCAGGGGGGAATAATCATTTTTAAAGATATGGGGGGGGGGGTAATGAAAAATTGGACAGCAAAAGGCAAGATTTTTCATCGTTATTTTTCCCAATAACCTCTGGATATTTTTATTAAACTCTTATCTTTTGTTGGTAACCCTGAATAATTGTCCCTAGCCCTCTTGTAGTCTGTACAAGCTTGCAGAGTATTTATTCAGAAAAGAGAAATGCGGCAAAAAAAAACAAAAATGTGCCAATGAATTATTAAATGTACATATTCAGTTGCTTCTGATATCCCATAATAGTCCTCTATACACTCAACCAATACAGGATTCTAGTTCAAGTCTTCAGGCAGAAAACTATTATTTCTATTCTTTATAATTGGGGTCATTTACAGGGGGAAATATGGGGGTTAAGGGGGAGCCCCCACTCCCTAGGTAAGTCTTGGTCATGGTTTCTTTAAGGGTGATTCAGCCCCCCCTCCTCCACTTTCTGGAAAAATTTCTCAGCTTGGTTTTGTGCATGGTAATCCTAGGCGTCAACATTTTGCGAAGAAGGGGGGGGGGTGGTAAAAGTTGTCGTACATGTTCTATTGAATTAATTATTACAAGATGAAATAATATTTTCTTGCGAAAAGGATCCTTGGTGGACAATTTACTGGCCAGGAGGGCAGGTAAGGGAATCAATATAATATCTCATAAATTCAGGTCTGGTCTGGTCTGGTCTGGTCTGGTCTGGTCTGGTCTGGTCTGGTCTGGTCTGGTCTGGTCTGGTCAGGTTGAATAACTTTATCTCATTCATATTTCCTTTTGTTTAAAAACCCTGCCACAAACTTCAAATTTAGAGAAATTTTATAATTCCACCTTAAATTAATTTATTCCCTCTGTTTAGGTTTTGAGTAGATATTTTCTAGATTTCCCCCACCTGGTCCAGGGGAAACATGTTCTAGATATAGGAAAACATTTCAAATAGATTTAATTCAGGGAAAACATGTTCTAGATATATTACAGATGTAATCAAAAATTCAAAATTTGGAAAAGGAAATATTCTTCAATTTTTTTTTAAATATCAAACAATCTGAGATCAGAAGTATTGTGTGAAATGTTGCTAATCTACGAGGCTTGATCTCGATATTCACTGTGGTAACTTTTAGGTTAAGTGCCTGATCCTATAATTTTAGCTATCTCTGCAGGATATGTCGACCATAAACAGGATAGCCAAAAGAAATTATAAGTTTTGACCTTAGAAAAGATAAATAAACGTTTTACAAATTGATCTAAATAATGTTTTTCATATTTTTAATAAGAAATGTTGATGTTAGGATCTGGATGCGGGGCACTTAGGAATTTATCCAAAAACTGAAATAATTTTCTAATTAAAGGGTTTTTATGTAGTATAAACACGAACAGATAATTCTCTAAAGGAGACTTTAAGAATTTAGCAATGTGTACTGTACAGTGTGTACTGTGTACTGTACAGTGCGTACTGTGTATTGTACAGTGTGTACTGTGTACTGTAAAGTGTGTACTGTGTACTGTACAGTGTGTACTGTACAGAGTACAGTGTGTACTGTACAGTGTACAGTGTTTACTGTACAGTGTACAGTGTGTACTGTACAGTGTACAGTGTGTACTGTACAGTGTACAGTGTGTACTGTACAGTGTACAGTGTGGACTGTACAGTATGTAATGTGTACTGTACAGTGTGTACTGTGTTCTGTAAAGTGTGTACTGTGTACTGTACAGTGTGTACTGTGTACTGTACAGTGTGTACTGTGTACTGTACAGTGTGTACTGTGTACTGTACAGTGTGTACTGTGTACTGTACAGTGTGCAGTGTGTACTGCACAGTGTACAGTGTGTACTGCACAGTGTACAGTGTGTACTGCACAGTGTACAGTGTGTACTGCACAGTGTACAGTGTGTACTGCACAGTGTACAGTGTGTACTGCACAGTGTACAGTGTGTACTGCACAGTGTACAGTGTGTACTGCACAGTGTACAGTGTGTACTGCACAGTGTACAGTGTGTACTGCACAGTGTACAGTGTGTACTGCACAGTGTACAGTGTGTACTGCACAGTGTACAGTGTGTACTGCACAGTGTACAGTGTGTACTGCACAGTGTACAGTGTGTACTGCACAGTGTACAGTGTGTACTGCACAGTGTACAGTGTGTACTGCACAGTGTACAGTGTGTACTGCACAGTGTACAGTGTGTACTGCACAGTGTACAGTGTGTACTGCACAGTGTACAGTGTGTACTGCACAGTGTACAGTGTGTACTGCACAGTGTACAGTGTGTACTGCACAGTGTACAGTGTGTACTGTACAGTGTACAGTGTACAGTGTGTACTGTGTGCTCTACAGTGTGTATTGTGTACTGTACAGTGCGTACTGTGTGCTGTACAGTGTGTACTGTACAGTGTACAGTGTGTACTGTGTGCTCTACAGTGTGTATTGTGTACTGTACAGTGTGTACTGTGTACTGTACAGTGTGTACTGTGTACTATACAGTGTGTACTGTGTACTATACAGTGTATAGTGTACTGTACAGTGTGTACTGAGTACTATACAGTGTGTATTGTGTACTGTACAGCTGTACTGTGATTATACAGTGTGTACTGTGTACTGTGTACTATACAGTGTACACATGTGGAGATATCAAATTTTGTTCTTTTCTGAAAAAATTTGGTTCCATTATGTATTTGCGTATTTGTATATTTGTATATTTGTATATTTGTATATTTGTATATTTGTATAATTGTATAATTGTATAATTGTATAATTGTATAATTGTATAATTGTATAATTGTATAATTGTATAATTGTATATTTGTATATTTGTATATTTGTATATTTGTATATTTGTATATTTGTATATTTGTATATTTGTATTTGTAAAGTGTAAATTTAGTGAAAATAGAACAAACACTTGAATCTTTAACTAACGAACAATGAGGTTGAATTCAGTTTTATTGACAAATTGATGTTATTTCGTTAGTTTGGTGGCAGCTAGGAAAGTATAGTTAAATTTTATTTATATTTTTGAGAAAAATATTAAATTTTTGAATTTTTTTTTACCATTGAAAAATAAAAGGTAAAATGATAAATTTGTAATGTAGATGTCAACTGTAATTCAAAGCCCTTATAATGTGGCATTTCTGATTTACAAGAATTAACGAAATATTCTTTTTTGTCTTTCTTAAAAAAAAAAATTCTTTCAATTATGGTTTCTATACAATTGATTGGCGCGCTTCAGGAACAATTCCGAATTTAACAGAATTGAATTTTTAGAAAGGAAAACTAAGATATCTTCCTCATTGTTACTCAGAATAAAGTTATAGGCCACAATTGTGAATCAGATATGCCCCATGTCTGGTGTTAAACATATAAACTGTCAGATGTGGAGCAGCAGATGTAACAGCCAACGATATAGACTTAAACGCCCGGACAGCACTCAGCCTCAATTCTAATATTAACAATATTCAAAATATAAATTTCAGGAAACTACATTTTTTACCCTTTCATTCTATCTTCCAAACTCTTTCTTGATACTTTTTCATTTTAACGGTTGTATGTTGGTTTTTTTATTTCAAAATGTTTAAAAATTTGATTTATTAAAATGCAAATGTTTTTTAATAATAAAGAATATTTTCAAAAATCAAATATAATTCTGCAATTTAAGCTACAACCCATCCACAATATGGGCTTTTTACACGCATCTAAGATTTCGATTATTATTTACTATTATTAACTACGGTGGTAGGCTACTATATTATTATAACGAAGACAACTTTTTATTTAAGTTCTAATTGTTACTCAGCTTATATCGAATTGCAAGATTACAAGTTAGTAAAGAGACTTTTTCTTCAATTGACAGCTTCGCTTTGTTTTTATGTTTTTGTGTATCCATGCTGAATAAAAGCTTGATAAAAATCAAAATTAAAATCGAAAATCGTCTTCATTATATTGATATTTTCGCCTACCACCGTATAGGAATCTTTAAGATGGAATGGCTCTCACATGAAATACATATATTTGCGTTTGCGGGTTATTGAAGTACATTTTAAGATTTAAGATTTTAAGTTTCTCTAACATTTGGGATCACGGGGGGGGGGGGGGTTAAAGTGAATATTTTTAAGACGCCGGTTAATTTTTTTTTCTAAAGAACGTAAATATTTTTAGTTCTACCGACCACCTCACTCACACAAATCCAAATAAACTAAAAGGAAAAAGAAAAATTTAAACAAAATAAAAAATTTCTGTTTGAAACAGAAATAAATGTTTGTCTTGAAAATTTTATCTTGTAAATTTTTCTTAATTTTTCAAGAGTTTGACATTTTATGTGTGGGGGACTTACTTTACGACGCAAGGAGAGAGAAAAAATTTATTAAGTAAAGGGTTGTAGGGTTAAACTTACACAAATAGAGGAGGTTTAAGATATTAACATTTATACTTGAGTTATTTTGGTTTAAGATATTAACATGTATACTTGAGTTATTTTGGTTTAAGATATTAAC